TTGCCCACTGTCTTCTCTCACCACACACCACTGACGAGTATCACCTTACAGATAACCTGGCTCTTAGGTACTGAGAGGCTGCTCTTAAGTGTTCCCCCCACAAGCTGTCTTTGCTCCAAGCTGAACACACCTCAGTACCTCAGTTCAGAAGGTGCTCCAGCCCTCAGCCACTGCAGTGACCCTGTGCTTGACTCATTCTGGTTTTTTGCTCTTTCCTGGTGGCTACTAAGCTTGCACAGATACAGTCTAGATACAGTCTAAGGACTGGTGAATAGAAGGGGATCCTTCTATCAATAGAAGTATCTTTTGATATCCTGGCTGTGTTTCTTTTTGTACCACCCAGGAGTGTGTTGTCCTTCCTTGCTGTCAGGGTACAATGCTGGCTTACGTTTGGCAAGGAGTCAAGAAAGAGCATTTCTGCCACTGGCAGTGTAGCAAACACAGCCAGCTCTGCCACAAGCCAGGATCCCCAGGCATGTCCTCTTTCTCCCTGCAGTAGTTGAGCTGGTGCAGAATTTGAAGATTTTAATGAGCCTTTCTGCAACTCCTGCTGCAGCAACCTTTGCTGCCATACATCCAGGAGTTCCTAGCACCCCATCTGCAGCAGCTTCAATGTGTGCTGACCAGTTCTCCAGCCATGTTCAGTGACTAAGAAGCATCAGATTCGGTGTACATGGTGCACAGCTGCAGTGTACCACTTACACTTCAGAAGAACCATATAATAGCAAACCCGTGCAATAAATAAACAGATTTATCTCATGAAAACCCCAAACAAATACAGAAACTATAGATGTTAGCAAAATTATCTGTATGTAAAGGGTAAGGGATGGCCTGCTTGTCAAAGATCTGATGTGTAGCAAATATTGTGGCATCCACAACTGTCTTTTAAGTAATTGATTGTCATCAAGAGTGGAGAGGTTGATGTCTTAACATCTTTTTCATCAATTCTAGTGTACAAGTTATTACACAGTGACGAGTGGTCACAACCCCACTGGGAATTAACATCTTGCAAAATTGCTCATTATTCTCTTGAGCATTAAAAACCTCAGCCAGAAGAGATTAATCAGACTTGCACACCTGGCTTCACACTGTTTGCTTCTTTTCAGTTACGAGTGCTTTGTGCAATGATTTAAGCCTCTGGTAGCATTTCACTGAAAAGACACTTGTCATAGATTCTTTGTTCTTATTTCCCCTGTCCAGCTTCTTACTCATCTACAGATGCCCGTGTCTGATGTATATTCCATGCTGGAGACAATAATTGTTACTAGCCCTGGTTCATAAATCATGTACATGGTGAAATAAAAACAAACAGAGGAAAGAGCTGTAAAACTCGGTCACCTCACTTTTATATTTAGGGAGAAGTTGTTCTATCCTTTACTGTAGATAATGGTAGCACAGTTTCCAACAGCATGCCTGGAGCCCATGGATTTGGGCAAGGCCCCACTTGTTCAGCGTAGTCACTGATCAGACCACACATTAAGACTTACTGTACCACGGTCTCCATTACTGGTGTCAGTGAAGATACACAGTTACATTTCCCAGCAAATAGATCAAACTCTTTTCCCATTGTAGTCATTCTCCTTTTAACCATTTTATTTAAACAAAGAGTTCTCCTGAAGATGAAGGGCAGACAAGTAGACTTAATGGCTCTGGTTCATTTCTAAGGGTCTGTTTTGGTATTAGGACCATATTCAGCCAAACTCAAGAACCTGAGTGTAACATAGTCAGTCTGAATGAGGACATTTAAAATAATGGGCAAGATTTTTGGCAGGTGTCCAGTGGAGTCACCCAGCACTGGTACCACTGAAAACATATTGATGTGAAGCATATATTTAAATTTAAGTGGGAGCTAAAGGTTTCTTTTGTTGTGCAGAATCAAAACCAGAGTGTGCGCATCTGATTCATGATGGAATGAATATGTGGCTACTCAGGATGACTAAGCTAGACTTGTTCTCCTGTGAAATTCCAGAGCAGCAGTGTCTGTGCCACAACTCTACTGCATGAATACTTGCACGAGAAAAGACATTTTTGCTGTATTCAGAAAAAAAGAAGGAAGGATTCCTGTTTGCTTTATACCTGAGATCTTTGACATGTCATGCTCACTTCCAACATACAATATCGCTCTGATCTTCAGGATCACAAAAGGCAGAAAACTCAGATGATACTTCCAGTTATACTTTTGTCAAAAGCAAGAGATGCCTGCAGTTGGGATCTCTTTGAATTCACCATTAATGTTGGCTGCCATAGAGCAATGGGGCATCCAAGCACAGGCACTGTCAAATGAAGAGTTTAATTGACATACAGCAGAAAAGGATCTTAAACCAACCTGTATTTGTCAAAATGGAAGTGCAGATCTCAGTGTAGTCTTTGTAATTCAGGACAAGCTCTAGAAGTAAAACTGCCTGAAGCATAAATGTGTGAAAAAAAAACACTTTTTTTAACTACAAATCCCATAGGAGCTTTATTCTCAGGACTCTATACAATTTACTCTTTACTCTCTCTGTTATTTACCGTTTGAAGAGTGTGTTCTTTTATGCAGGACACAAAGAGGAAATGTATGCAAATAACATGTTTGTAAGAAAAGCAAGGTGACTTTAAGACCTTTGTGTGCTTCAATAGAAAATCCTGAATGTGATTTTTTTCTTTTCTTTTACTGCTTTGGCAAACCCATGAGTTAAATTTCAGCCTTGGTAGAGCAATCAGACGAATTTTTGCCTGCAAGAGACAACATGTTAAGCAGATTTAAAATTACATTGAAAGGCAAAAAGCTTGGATTCTACTCTCTATAGCTCTTCCACTCTGCAGTGTGGAAAGGCCACTTTTTCTCCATGCCCCTACATCATGGTGTAACCCCAGCCAGAGCCAAGCCCCACTCAGCCACTCACTCACTCCCCCACCAGTGGGACTGGGGAGAGAATCAAAAGGGTAAAAGTGAGAAAACAAATGAGTTGCGATAAAGACAGTTCATTAGGGAAAGCGAAAGCCAGGCACATAAGCCAAGTGAAACAAGGAATTTGTTCACTGCTTCCCATAGGCAGGAAGGTGTTCAGCCATCTCCAGGAGAGCAGGGCCCCATCACATGCAATGGTTACTTCAGAAGACAAATACCATCACTTCAAAAATCCCCCCCTTCCTCCTTCTTCTCCCCACCTTTACATACTGAGCATGATCCCATACAGTCTGGAATATCCCTTTGGTCACTTGGAATCACCTGTCCTGGCACTGTGTCCTCCCAGCTTCCTGTGCATCCCAGGTTTCCTCAATAGTGTTGCAGTTCAAAAAGCAGAAAAGGCCTTGGCTCTGTGCAAGCCCTGCTCAGCAATAACAAAAACATCTCTATATTATCAACTCAAGCTTTGCTCAGCACAAATCTAAAATAGCCCCATACCAGACACTGTGAAGAAAATTAACTCTACCCCAGCCAAAACCAGCACACAGTATTTCATCTTTACACTCCCTTGGACCCCTCTATGTTGTTAGCCTGTAAAGACTCTGGAGAGGGAGAAGGCTTACACTGTCAATGTTCCTAGCATAGCAAAACCACTGTCAAGAGACATATCTGAACTTGACTCATGGTCTTTTTTCACCTTACAATCCATAATCATTTTCAAGATGTGTTACTGCTTGCTAGTCTTGATATCAGCCTTGTGTACCCTGGCTATAAGATATGGATAGAGGAACAGGCAATACCCAGAACAGTCCAAGAAGAAGGAAAGAATGAAGGGAATGGGGAGAAGGGTAATTTAAACTAAAAAGAACCATCTGGAAAAGGACTGTAGAAATCTGATAGCGCTCAGAATCATGATGACCTTTGGAGAGTAGCTTCTAACTCTCAAGCTTCAGGTCAAAAGAAGATTCTGGCCCTGCAATTCCCTTACCATGTTGTAGTAAGAGGAGTGGATAGAAGCATCAAGTGACCAAAGGTCATGCAAGCCTCACCCACAGAGCTTCATTGCAGAGACAAATATGTGCAGTATTCCAGGCTGGAAAAGGCCTGGCCTTCCTCCTAGAGATAAACTCAGAGTTGTTGCTGACAATGTATATATTTTTAATCTCTCTTTCACTCTTAGCATGTGTTGTGACCATTTCCTTCATCCATCTTGGCAACTACTAGCCCTCATGTTACTTCTTTTCCCTTCTGAAAATATTTCACAGTGCAACTCCAAAAATCTCCATTCTGCAGTTGAGTTCTAGAAGAGATGTTTGCTTGTGGACCTCTCACTGGTTTCTCATTGAAGTCAGGGAAGTCTTTGCCTGGCTGATCAACTATGGGTTTCAGTGAACATTTTAACTAGAATTAAGAAGGTAAAATTCAGTGTTTGAGTCCCGAGAAAATGCCTGCCACTTCTGTAAAAGAAGTCCTAACAATCTAGTGCCGTTTAACTTTTCTCCTCATGTACCCTCCATTTTTCCAAACCTGTCCTGTTTAGTATTCAAACCTCATTTCATATCTCTTTTGCCCTATAATGTAATTTTTTACACCAGATGTTTTGCACATTACAAAGCTGTAAGAAGTGTGACTTGTAGTAATTGCACTGCAGTGGCTGAGAGGGATCAGGAATCCCTGAGCTTTTGCTCTGGCAGTGATGGTGGTGAGTCATCCTGTAACTTCAGACACTGAATTGCTCTCATCCTAATTGCTCTCCCCCTGTTTTGGTGTCTGTTGAGTGGAAGAAGTTGCATCTACCTCACAGGGCTATTTTGGAGGATTAGGGCTTTAAAGTGTGCCACAAGCCTTGTTAAGTATTGCTTAATGTGTTTATTAAGGGGCATGCAGAGCCCTGGGATGTTTTTTGTGGGACTCAGGAGTGCTGCAAAACAACAGTGTTTTTTCTGGAGACCATGCTGAGCATGCAGCAGGAGTTGTCTGTCACAACAGGGAAGGTGTGCACACTCCCATGTTGAGTAGCAACCTCAGTACCTGCTCACCCAGGCAGATACTCTCATCTCCATCTTACTGACATAAAAATTAACACCAGTGTTCTCTTTCTTTCTTTTAGATCCTGGCGCTCCTGTGAAGCTGCCTTGTATGCCAGTTAAACTGTCACCTCCACTACCTCCAAAGAAAGTCATGATTTTTGGGCCCCCTTTAGGTGGGGCAGACCTCTCTCTCTCATCCTATGCCACGCAGAAGAGCTCTCAGCAGCCTTTGACCCAGCAGCATCACACTGTCCTGCCATCCCAGTTAGCAGCTCACCAGCACCAGCTCCAGTACGGCAGCCACAGCCAGCACCTTCCTTCTGGGTCCAGCACGTTGCCCATTCACCCTTCAGGGTGCCGGATGATCGAGGAACTGAACAAAACGCTAGCCATGACCATGCACAGGCTAGAAAGGTAATGGATCAACTTCTAAAATTCCATACTGGTGTGAACCGTTTCCTGCTAATCTCAGCATTGATACCATCGAGTTACATTCTTAGGACTTGAATGAGGTGTCTCCTCCAGGGTCTAACAACTTCAGGCCAGAGTCATTTCTGGAGAAACAGAGGCAGAGGAAGAGCCTTTCCAGGCTTGTTTGACAAGTTTGTGGCAGAAAGGAATAAAGACCAAATTTCCAGAACCCTATTGTCCTGTTCAAGGAAGTAGATAAAATATAGCCAATGGAGAAGATTTTAATAGGACATGCCTGGCTTGCAGTAAGTACTGCTGAGGCATAACTGCAGAGCTCCAGTTGTGTAGAGGATTGCTAAACGCAAGGAGAGGAAGATTCATAAAAGAGCAATTAGAATCCAATGTGCCACTCCAGCAGGGCATCTGATTAGTATTACCAATTAGCTCAAAACAATCTATGTGGACTTCCTACAAGTCACTTAGAAGGGTTTGAATGCAGTATTTAAATTAATTTAAATTAAATTATATGTTTGATCTTAAAATAAGCATTTAACTTATTTCACAGCAGCTACCTTCTTAGCCATTTGCATATGGCAAGAGGCAGCACATTTGATCAGAAATGCCTTACCCACCTTGGGGCTGTTTTTGTTATTGTCACTTAGGAGTATCCAGAGTGTTTCTCCAAGTAGTCTGAGTAAGTGAAGCATGTTGCATAAATGCAGGCTGCCCTCATAGGCTACAACATCAGCAAGCTTTGGAAAATGTAATTCACCTTACAAAAAGTTTTCTTCAGGAAAACTGAGAAAGCCCCAGAACAGGGAAGTTTTTCTGAAAAATTACATGTTTTATTTAGTACCAAGGACAGCTTTGTAGCCAGCTTGTTCTAGGAGCATCAGATCATCTTGTTATGCAGGAAGACAAAATATTTGGTCTAACAGATAAAATGCCTAATGATTTATGCCTCAGTATTTCTGTCTGATAATGCTACCTTCATTATATTCCATAGTTGGAAACAAGTGGTTTATTGATGGTGATTTCTCCCTACTGCCTGAAAAAGAGTAAGGAGACCAGAGGCTGCCTCACACTACCAGCTTATTCTGGTATTTTAGTACCAGAATAGTGACACATCTCTTACATCATGGGGCTAATGTTTCTACAGCATGGGGGAATTCTCAGCTGGGGAAAAACTACTAGGGCTATGAAGGACATTCTTATTCCCGTCAGTGAAAGAGCTGTAGAGATAGGATAGAAAGAGAATCCACATTGTCCCCCACTGCTATACCAGTGCCATACCCAGTGACTACCCATTTACCTCTCACATTGCCAGCACGGCTGGTCTGGTGCCTCTGCACCAGCCCAAAATTCAATGCAGCAGGCACAGAGCAGAGCTGCTGTCTCCCAAAGGCTCCTTTGGGGCTGCAGTGCCCATGCTGTCCCCAGTTTAGGTCGGGCGTCTTAATGTCTGGCTCCCACTGTGTGCAGAAGGCCCTTTGTTATCCTGAGCCCAGTGACATCTCTCAGAGTATGACTTCATTGTGGCATCTGTTGCCCCACAGCAATGAATGCTCCAGTTTCTAGTCATCCATCATGTTTATGTCTACAAATTAACCGATTTAAAGAAGGTGATGCTGTTTGGGTTTAACTATTAATTTGAAGCTGAAACTCTGCTGCTTGTTAAAACCTGAATAAGCAAGCCTTCATGTCCCAATGTGAAGCAATTGCTTCCCTTTGCAATTAATAAGAAGAAAATAAGAAAAGGTTGTGGCACTGATATTTCACATGAATAAAATGAATACGAATCCTAGTTCATGATCTTGCAGACAGATTTTTCATAGCCTTTTTTATGTTGTTTAACTGTTAGTTAAATCATGGATTAATGTATTGAGTACTTTGTGCTCCTTGTCAAAACAAATCAATAACTTTGGCATTCACAAGGGAGAAAATAGGTCATGATCATTTCCTCTGCAACAGCAATTGTTATTTTTGTAGTATATAGAGGTAAAAGTATTTCAAACCATTTACGGTTCTGTGGAGCTGATCTTGCTGTTAAATTCTTCATTTGGTTTTTTCAAGCCACATTGTGATCTAGATAAATTTGCCAACTTTGCTTGAAGATTTGTGCAGATTTTTTAAACATATTTATTTAACTTGGGAGACAATTATTTGCACCAAGCCACTGTTTTCTACTATTTTTGACAGAACTTACTTTCCCTTATTGTAAAAATCTGTATTAAACCCCAGAGAAATTATACTGCAGTATTTGTCATTGCACACGTCAGCCCAAAACTCTCAAGGACCTGTTAAACTGCAAAGATCCTAGATCTCCTTCCTCTGTTTGGAATTTGGTAGTGTATGGAGTGCCATCCTGCATTTTGCTGTTCCTTCCAAGTTAACAAAGCACTGGGCCACTACTGTTGGGTCAATAATCCTGAAGAGATGTGAGAGCCTTGTAAGTCCCAGAGGCACCTTCTGGTGAATACTAAGGGGTTTTTCCTTCTGATCTCAGACATTATCTCAAAAGTATCCTACAACTTTACAGAATAATTGCCATGGTACTGCTTCCAATAAGTAATAATGCTTCCAAGTCTGGTAATTTGGGGCGTTATTTAGAATAGTGTTTTGATTTTAATAAGAGATGATCATATAGACAAGTACAGATCAGGTTTCAGCTCTAAATTTTTTCTTTTCCTCTCATAATTTTTCCTTTCCTTCCTTGAATCTAGTTTCTTTGGTCCTGGTGCAGCTCCTCAAGGTCATTTTAGCTCTAATGATATTTGCTGAATCAGTTTGCATCAAATCCACATTTTGTCCAGTAAACTTTTCTTAGACCTCACAACTTTCCTATTCACCAGATCTCTGAGTGTTGACATGAACAACAAATGAAAGGCTAAAACCTTCCCTTCCTCTAGCAATCTGGATTTTTTGCTTACACAGATAAGATCTCTGGAATTCAGATAGTCTAACAACATCTGAAGACTGATAGTTGAAATCAGTGCTTTGCCAATGAGCCACAGGCTTGCCAGAGAAAAATGAGTTTTCCCTCTGTACAGACCTGGAAGCCAGATTTTTCTGTCTTTGACCTTGAGAAAGTTACTGAGTCTTTCTCTCTCTATTTTCCCCTCTGCAGGAGTGATTGCATGTAACTGCCTCACCTAGATCTAGTGCATATTAACAAGTTAATGTCTTAAGGTACATTAAAAGGCATGTAATAGCTGTTCAAGTCCCAGTTGTTCTTATAACTTAAAATGATAGTTAATTCCTGGATTTTTTTATTCAATTTTATTACAGACATTATAGAACGTTCATTTGTGCACTTAATGCTTTTGATTGCAAACATTTTCTGGTACTCATAATGTCTATTCATAACCTGGTCTCAGAAGGGCAATCTGCCCCTTGTCGTAGTATGACTGTTATGACATGTCATTTGTGCTGCCAGTTTGCCTCTATTTTCCCTGATAAATTACCAGTTTTATGGTAGATTAAGTTGAAACAGAGAAATGTGTAATTTCCATGTAACCTTTTTCTGCAACCTCTGTTGCTAATTTGTGTCCTACTGCAAATTACTTTCTCCTTCAGCCAAAGGGTGTTTGTCAAGCATAAGCAAAACTAGATTTGGACACTATTTTTTACCATTGCATTTTAGGAGTTGATGAAAATCTAGTAAGCCCTGCCACCAAAATACACAGATTTCATCCTCCTGACTGAAATTAATTTGAGAAGAAAGACCATGCCCCCAAAGCTGTGTATCACAAATAGTGGCTAAGGAAGGTTTAGAGACTCTCTTGTGACACCAACATGTGTCTTTAATTTTGACTTAGTGAGGCATTTTCTTGCTCTGAAACAGCCTGATTTTCTGCCTTGCCTGTATAATTCTCAGCCTGTCTGGAAAGGTGACAATTAATTTCATTTACTCTGTGGGCTCATGTACAGGAGCAGGGGCAGATCAGTTTGTTCAACGTATGTACTAAAGAGCTGTTAAGTGGCAATATCTCATAGTTGCCTCTGTGGCAGAGCAGTGAAAAATCACTATGTCCAGAAAGACTGTGTGTGAGACCAGTTCCTCTGGGACACCCAGCTCAGCTTCAGGCTGTAGATTTATGAAATGAAATGCATTAGACATTACCGCCAGTGTCTTGTAAATCTTATGAAACATATTTGAGTCAGAAAACATTTATCTTCCATAAAACTTGTCAAGAGAATTGCATCTTGTCTAAACTTTAGCATTGCCCAAGGATAGAAACACTTAATATTTATAGCTCTGCCTCCTCTCTTTGTTTCTCATGCACATTCCTGTAGTAGAAACGTGTATACAATGGTTTGAAGTTTTCTCAGATTTTTTGTTTTAACTGATAAATACAGAAAAGTGTACTGTGGATCTGAAAATATTCTGATAAAAATGTAACCCTTTATTCCAAAATCAAAGGGCCTGGCATGACAGACAAGAAGTGTGCAGGTTTTTTCCCACTAGGTTTTACAGGGGGTATTTAATTTTTTTCTTTTTTAAATTTTGTCTGTACCATGAGTCACTCATATGCTTAAATTGTGATTTTTAATTAAAGTATTTTCTCACTAGAAACATTGTAAGCTGTAGTGGTGTAACTTTTTTGCTGTTTTGATCATGTAAAGATGGTGCAGCAGTAATTTCAAGTCCTTGTACTAGGGAGCTATGAACTGTTCAGATCCATGTGTTAAGATCTTGAAACAAGTACTTGCTTAACTGTAGCTTTTTTCTCTAATTTAGTTGCAAAACACAAAGCTGGTCTAAAATGGGCTTTTTGAAACAATAGGGTGCTTTTTGGTGAATAATGCTGAAAAATGTTGTGGTGTAGACACCTGACCATGTGGGAGTTTTGCTAACGACCCTGAGTCATTTATACACAATGAGCATATCCAGTGACCTTGATTTGTCTTTTTTAAGTATACTGCAGTACTGCACGTATTTCATAAGCATTTTGCTTAGACAGCTGACTTAGTCAAATTGCTGTGGAAAGGGCTGATTTTAATCAAGAACAACACGAAACACTAGGAAAAATGAGGGGCTTAAAATAGAAAGTAGTATTATCAAGAAAGTGGATGATTCAGAAAACTTACAATGAGATGAGAAGCTGCCTGTTTCTAGATCACTAGTTCAAATAAAAATCCTCTGTGGTAACTTGTAAATCTTGTTGCCATCCTATATCTGTTTGATAACCTAAACTGATGGATCATTTTGATATCTGCTACTCAGTGGATACACCCATAAGGATGCATCCCTAACTTACATCTGTCCTTCACAGAACAGGGAAGCACCAAATAGTCCTGGATGCTGAGCTACTTCTTGCTCCTTTCATTTGCACTTCAGAAGGGGCTTACTGAATTGGTACTTACTCTGTGTCTATGTATTGTTTTAAAATTAACTGAATGATCCAGTGGTTGCGTTCATGCAATTGGAAGGTTTGGGGTATTTTTTTAGCAATGTTAACAGAATTTCACAATATTATAGTTTTTCTCAGAAATTTGATTCCAGACTTTTGAATTTCCTCTCTTTCCTCTTTAAAAGACTTACTCAAAAATTAGCTTACGGGGAAAACAGATTTAATGAAGTTCATAATATAAAAATTCTGAAAGCATTTAAATAAATTAAAAGTTAGTTCAAAGTTTTCTAAGATTCTAGTTTGTTGATGTGTCATTATGAGAATTCAGCTGATGAATTCTTAAACTGTATCTGGGATAAAGTTTTTTGTGTAAAACTCATTGAAGTCCAATACAAAAATTTGCAAGCTAGTTCTTCATGAGTCTCTCTTACTTTGTGGTACAAAACATGGGCTATCACTATGAAAATCAAGTTTCTCTCTTCAAGGCATCTAGTAAAGCTCTGCATCTCACTGTTGGTTAGTCTGCAATAATACATATTGGAATTAACAAAATTATTTCTTTGAAGCTGAAGTAAATGATGATAATAACAGCATGGTGTGGTTTGTTCACAGGATCTGAAGCCTTTTATTCTCTTTAATCCTTAAGCATATTTGGAGTAGCATTATATTCTTAGATCTACATTTTAAACACTCTCTAGAAAGTTATCTATCAGCCATTTAAGAGTCCATTCTAACTTTTAGGTTAGAAGAAAGCAGAAGTGTTTCAAGCTGAAGATAGTAGATTCAGTAGATTTCTGTAGAAAATCTTTTAAAGAGAAGAATACATTTTATTCAAGATGCAGAACACCTCTAGTATTCAAGCTAAAATATTCAAGGGAATTGAGGGTACTCAATACTTGTCAGATCCAAGTTTGTGTGCCACAAGGTCAACTTGGCCAGCACATCTGCTTTCACACCTATGTTCTTCTGGAGAGTAAAATGGGAGTTTGACATAGAGAGGGCATCCAACAGGCAAATGTTGCCCAGTTTTCATAGAGCTGTTGCATCAGCCAGGACTTCAGAGAGAGGGCAGTTTCTGCTGTGTCACAAATAATCCTGAACTGCCACCATTTTTGCCTGCCAGTCTCTCATTCTGATTTCATAATGGAAAAGCAATATGAGCTATTTAGATAAAAATCGTTTGGGAAGCACGGTTCTGTTCCTGACTTTTGCTTTCACTTTTTCTTTGACTTCGATCTTCACCTTCTCATGTTCCCTTTTCCCCTACTTGATATGTTATTTGGTAAAGGGCTTTGAATTCAACACAAACAGCTAAATAGTAGCAGTCCTCACAACTTGTCTTAATCTTATACAGTGCAGAAAATAATCAATCACACCTGTGACAAAAGAAATATGATGTAAATGCCAATTTTGATTGATCTTCAGCACCTGGCTGGATAAAGAACTGGGGCAGGACAAGGGATATCATCATGGCCACCCCCCAATATATTACTGTGCCATTAGCAAACAAACCTCCCACGTTTTAGCTAATTCCCTGGTTACTCACCTGCTCCCAAAGTCTCTTTTCTCCAAGCCCAGTTTCAGATGCTCTCTCCCCTGCACGTCAAAGAGTTGTGGGCTTGCCACATCCTTAAGTCACTCATCACTAGTGCAAGCCACTAGTTTTCCCTCTGCTTTTTTACAATTATCCCCTACAGCCTATCCCTCTTTCCTCCCAGTCTTACTCCACCTTTTGCACTCAGGTGAGACATTTCCTCTTTATTGCCTGCATACCAACTGAAAGATCACGCAGACACCAGGCTGAAGGTATGCTTGTTGCTGAGTAGCTGGTGCTTACCACTCTGAGTAGCTGGTCACTAAGTATTTGCCACAGATCTTTTAGATCTTTGTCCTGGCTGACAGTATTTCTGCCTACATGCTGTCCTATCTCTCCCTAATAAGGGTTGTACCCTAAATCTAATAAATACTCAGTTTAAATCCGTTAGATGTCCTGCTGGTCTTGAAAATCTTTCTGTTCTCATTTCTTCTCAAAAAGGGATGAAAGACCACTACTTTCCTGTATACAGTGAGAGAAGCAACTCTTTCATTGAGCTCTTTCCTTTAGTTTATTTATTTGCTTTTCTCTTTCTCAACAGCTCTGGTTTACACACAAGTGACAGTGTTACAAAAACAGGACCTGGGGGCCTTCCAGACATGAGACAAGTGCCAACTGTTGTGATCGAATGCGATGACAATAAAGAAAATGTGCCTCATGAAACTGACTATGAAGATTCTTCCTGCCTCTATCCAAGGCAGGAAGAGGAAGAAGAAGAAGATGAAGAGGAGGATAACTCATTATTTACAAGTAAGACTCATTCTATTTCTCCTTTCTCACTTACTTAATTTTAGCTCTGAATTCGCAATACACAAAGGAAACACAAGGCTTGTGTGTTTTCTTTCTTGGCTATGGCTTTTGCATCTCTCAGGGCTTGACTACGTGGGGATGCTAATAAAAAATAACAAACAATATGAATTTACAGTGATTTTGCTAAAATACGTGAATCCTTGTCTCGTTAGCACTCAGACTAAATTCAAATGACAGGTTTGGGCTTGTATTGGTTCAGTTACAAATTGGCTTTTGGATTCACTTTCCCAAATGCCCATGGTGAAGAGAAGCCCTGCCTTTGGCTTAAGTCAAGATCATCTCAATAGTTTCTTCAGGAGGATGAAATAAGTGCCACACAGAGAATCAGAGCTTTTATTTTATTTTATTTTATTTTATTTTTATGTATAGTCAATGTTAAATTATTTTGGAATCATAAATGTGCATATGCTTTGAAAAGGGTCACAATCAGAGGATTGGGCTCAGATAAGAAGAGGTTAATCAATAGCCATATCACAATTACAGACTGGGAAAGGACCTGTGGCCTTCCTGACCTCTCTAAGGAAACCCAATTCCTGCCTCAGTGTGGCATCGTAGGACTGTCCCATGAAGACAAGATACAGTTCTTTATGTATGACAACTGCTTGTCATCCTAGACAGTGAAGTTCCAGGCCCTTGCCTTTCTTTTCTTCTGAAAACTGGAAGCACTACAATCAAACAACAGCCCTTTTAAAACACACAGAAAGAAGATTCTGAACCAGGCATATTTCATCTCCTCAGAACCCCACCTTACCCTGCAAGTGAAATTAAGCAGTGTTTGCTCTCAAACTAAAAACAGAGCACAACTGCACTATCTCACACTCTCCTGACAAAGGCCAAAACCTCTCATGTGTTTGTGTCTCTCTGTGTCTTGTCTTCCTTGCTCAAACTGCTTTGGACACAAGCCTAAGGAAGTCAATCTGAGCCATAAAAGGCCACTGGGTTTAAGTGTCTTTGCCACTGTCACTGCCTGGGAAGCAGTCAGTGTGCATAGAGATTTGTGCTTATGATTGACTTTTGATTCCTTCTAGTGCTGGCTTGGATGTCTTGATATTACATTGCAAGAGAAATTCACATACCCCTCTCTTTTCACATGATATAGCTCTGCTGCCTGCTCACATTCTGAGGTTGTATTTTTCATTCCATTGTGTGGAAATACTGTGCTAGAGAAAGCTACAGATGTTACTAGCAATTCTGAAACAAGCCTTTCTCCATTCCCCTCTATGGAGCTATATATTAATTTCTATTTCCTGTATACCTACCAATTTCAGCTTTTCCTTATTATGATACGAATTGAGGTTAATTGAGGACATGAACTTAATGACACCCCTTTTCCCATAGTCCATACCAGTGTAAAGGAGAGCCTCATATCATCCCTTGGCTAGTAGTTCTTTGCCAGCTGCATGCTGTAATGAAATGATGACACCTCCTTTGGCAGAGCTTCTCCTCTTTCCCACAGGCCCCCTGGCAAGGAAGCTCTGTAGGAAGGACTCTTTAGCAATCAAACTAAGCAACAGGCCCTCCAAGCGAGAGCTGGAGGAAAAGAACATCCTCCCCATGCAGACTGATGAAGAGAGGCTCGAACTTAGGCAGCAGATTGGGACAAAGCTTACAAGGTAAGAAGCAAACATTTTTTTAACTCTTGCTTTTGGAAATATGTGGTGGGATGTAGTTTTTTCCTTAGTCTTTAAACATTTGAGATCTGTTTGGTTACCATGTTCAAGAGGAAAATCCATGGAAAGGAGAAAATGGTTCTATACGTTATTTCTGGTCCAGTAAACCTTCCCATGTAACTCCACATTTCATTTTCCAGGCATATGCTATGGGAACTTTGGTTAAGTATCAGCATGAGCTACGTGCATTTGGGTTTTTTTGGCACATCATTGGAAAATGTTCAGCTTTGATAACATTTCAGACTGTAGCTGCAGGTGCCATTTTATAAGCTGTTAGTTTGGCCAAAGGTCAGAGGTATAACTTTGTCTTCTGACAGAATCACTTGTGAGTAGCTGAGACTTTTCCTGGTGCAAAATAGGTTAAGTCCTTTGGTATTTGCCTTCATTGGGTCAGGTTGGACAGATATACCCTGTCTAGACACTTTCTTCTTCATAACAGTGTTACTCACCAGCTGTTCTGGTTTTCTGTATTGCATGGGATATAAAGGGGTGGCCATTAAATGTGGGGGATTTCTGACAAGAATTAGTAAACTGAGGTCGGACAGAACTGTCTCAGAACCTTCTATGTGCATGCTATAGTTTCTGTAATGGATTTAATCCTCTTACATTGTCAGCTTGGTGGTATGCAGAGCTGGTGAATGCTGTTAGTTGCTCTCCAGTGAGAAAACCACAAGGAGATGACCAGCCAGTTGTTGGGAATTTTCTTGCATATTTTCACTTTTTTATTTTGGGAGTGGGTGGACAAGGGGGAAACACTGCTACTATGTTATGGAGACAGGAAGAATAGGAGCTCCTGGTAAATACCACTTTCAGCATTTTATTTATTTTTCTTTCATGGTCTAGTTTATCACCTCTTTGGAATAAACTAACCACCAACTAATCTTTCCAACCTGTCTTTGAAAGTTTTTGTGCTGGATCGTGCTCAGTCTACTCCAAAACCTAATTCTTCAGTATTCATATTGAGGGGCTTCAGCAGACATGCCCAAAATATGTAAGATACTGCTGCACTGTTGTTGATACTGTGGTTTTTCAGTTCAGTCTTTATTCAGCTTTATTCCAACCTTGTTAGACTGTAGCTGCAATGGAGCTCTGGGTCCCAAAGCAAAGCCCAGAACAGCAGGGTCTCAGTGCTTATATGGTTAAATTTGAATCCTTTTGAAGCCTGTGAAGAATTTAATTTTTTATCTCTAAGCGTATCTCACTGATTGACCTTGCAATGACATTGAACAGCATTTCCACTGTGTTGCCCATTTTCCTTAAATTACTTAGGTCTTTCTGGAGTTTTCCAACTATGGCTGATGAAAGAAAGTAGTGTCATTTACAAACACTGATTCTGCACAGCTCATGGTGTACCAGGTCTTTTTCATTATAAGTATTTTATTTTTCATCCCTTCCTGTCTAAGCCCCATATTCTCATAATGTTGTTTTTTGTTTCCCCAATTGTATCTCTGATAATCTGAATTTAATACCTTGAGCTATATTGCCTTATCTTGTCTTCTCATATAGCTAGGACTTAGGGACAATCACAGATAGTTCAAATAATTAAAACTGTGTATATATGAGTTCAAGAAATAGCTGAGCTTAATGAAACTGCTGTTTCATTCCTGCTTTATATCAGTGTAATGTCACTGAAAATGATAGAATTTCATAAGCTTTAACTAGAGTCGTATAGTTTCCAGTCTGACCTTTATAGTGTCCACTCTGACATTTACTAGTATTTACAACTGAGTATCTCATCCTTTCGAGTAGTGGAAAACAATCAAGAAATATGAGGAGAAAACAATTTTGCTCATATCTAATACGTGAGAAACTGCAGGCATTTCAGCAGCAAAAAGGAAAGGTGCTTGTCTTACCAATGCTTTATATCTAAATGTGATATATCCATGTGCACAAACTGATGAATATTAGATTAAAATAGAGGAAATATTTCAATTTGGACAGTATTTCCTTACTGTCCAGACTTTATTACTAAATCCATCCTTTGCTGTTGCTTGGTAATTGTCACATAGTGATGCAGATGCCAAGCAAAATTAAAGTAGAGAAGCATTTATAGTCCTTAGAGAAGATGCTAGATGTAGACTATAATTGCAGCTGGCAATTTTGGATTTCAGAGGGATTTGTACTGCTCCACCAATGGTCCCCGAGGGTTTAAAATATCCAGCCAATCAAATCACATATGCTACTTACAGAAGTAAAAAATGTAGGATAAAAACTTCAGCATATAGTTATTGCCTGTAATGGATCAATTAATTTTCACCAAGAGGCTGATTAGGATACTTCAGTATTTATGCATAATCCTGACAGTATTTAGTTTGGAAGAGCTCATTGGCTGCCACATTTGGCAGACCAGAATTTAGTACTATAAAGAGAATGTCTTTTTCAAAGATGCCTCTATCCGAGCATATTGAGATTGGCCACTGACATATTGTGTGGGACCAAAATCATCCCAGGTGCAGTTTCTCCAGCCTTATTAGAGTTGCACTGGGAATCAGTTTGGCTCAGAAAGGTCTGTTCTGATCCTGTTTAAATGTAGCTTGGAACCTCTGAACCTCCTGTTATTCCCAGAAAATTGTTATGACTTTAGTGTTACATCAGCCAACTGGAAGAGAGGCTCCAGAGCAGAATTCACAGTTTCCCATACTGGGAGAATAATGCCCTGACTTACAACAGGCCAGTTGTAAGGGTGGGGCTGCAGGGACTGTATCTTATAGCAGGACCTGGCCCACTCCACACCCCAGTGTTTACTCTGCCATGAGACAAATTCTTTGTGCCTGTCATAGAAACACTTCACATGAATGTTGTGCTTCCCTGCTCTGTGTCCTGTATCACGGCTCAGCATGTGCAGACCCAAGCAAAAATGGAGCTTCTTGCCCAAGGTGGCAAAACATATCCTAGGAAAAGCAGGAGATTCCACATCATATGAATTCCAGCCACATGAACAGGCCCCTGCAGCATAAACCGTTTCTGAGAAGTCCTTACATAGCAATTATGGCGATTGATTACAGCAATTAATTAGATGGCCTCATTTTCTAACCAAACCAGAATGGATTGCTCCAAAATGTGACATTTCCTATGAAGCAAGGAGGAAAAAATAGTGAATTAAGATGCAGAACTTTCAGCTCAAAACCACATATGGCATGGGGATAGGAAATGGATGCTGGAGGCCATGTTCTTGGCTGCTAAAATCCTTTACAACTCCATTATCTTCTACTCTCAAATGCAAACCTTCTGTGCTAAGTAAATCTTTAAGTGGGTATGGTGGTTTGCGGGTTTTTTTGCCTGTTCAGCTTCTCCCAAACTCCTCCTCCATTTTATCCCTCTGGTGCTTGCACAGCTTCACAGCTACTCAAGAAGTGTACATGTGTGACAGTAGGACAGATAGGAGAACAGAGGAGAAAAAACAGCTCTCTGAAAGTTAATAGGGAGAGGGAGGAAAAAGGCAGATGTCTCTCTTCTGCCTGTCTCACTGGCTGTGTTGGACCTGCTGGGAAGCACAGATTCCCTGGTATTCCCGTTAGAGAAGCAGCCAGGAAGACTTGGATTTAGCTTTCAGTGACTGTCAGGGTGAGAGGAATGGGGCATATCCAGGTTGTAATGGTGACCTTGGAGGATTTCCCTGGGAAAGGATAAAGGCCTGTCAGGAAGCCCTGGTGAAAAGGAGGGACAGCACTGATGAGTGATGGACAGCAGAGCTGCACCTCTCCCAGAGGGTGAAGGAATGTCCCCTGGTACTGAGACAGTGCTTCAGTGCCAAGCCTTGCACTTCTCTTTCACCACAGAATCATAGTGGTGCTCTTAAGAGACCACACAGACTTTCTCAATGAACTTAGTAAACGCAAACACGAGACTTTACAGAAAAAACAGACTTTGCACTCTCTTGGAATGGGAAGACCTGGTTTCTTTGTGTGTCTTTCACAAAGTCTCCCCCATTCTCTGAGACAATATGGGTCCTTAGACCGACTGATCTGCCACACATCCTACAAGGGAGGCTTTCTAAAGCAATGAAGTATTTTTGAGTCTCTTAACCCACCAACTCTGGTGAAGGTGCTCATTAGCAATTTGATACAGGAGTATTAAAGCTGAGCTTTTAGTCCGCGGCTTTTCAAGGACACCATGTATTTATTTGTTTTCCCTGATTGTTTCCATCCTGGCTTCTCCCACCTGCTGGAATTGGATGATCTAATAACACAGAAAGTCTGGTAATCCAGTATGCTGTCATCATGTTGTTATTAATCGATGTCAAGTGAACTTCTTGATATTCACAGTATCATTACTGGTCAGCATAATGTCTGTCTCATCAGCACACTCCTATCCACTGTCTGGAAGTCTGGAGACAGAGGAGGCACATAAAGGCTGTCCACTGACAGTAGTGCTTGTCAAGGGACTGCTACCCTTCACTGGAAGGCACCACAGGCAACACAGTAAGATTTTGCAATCCAGTAGGAGTTTGTGCTGTGCTGCTCCCAAAAGCTGTTAGTTGTAGGGATCATATTTATCATGCCCAATGTGAAAGCAAAGAGAGGTGGGGGAGCAGTCTTCTGCACATTAGCCAACTAGTAAAATGAGAAATAAATAAAGAAGAAAGTAACGAACTACCTATTGCCTCTTTCCTGACTTTGAGAGATGCTCTTCTGATTGCTCGACTGAATCCTATGTGTGTCACTATATATGTTCTGCTGGCTTTAAAGCAGTGAATTAGAGGCAAGTTCCTCTGCCAGATATACAGCAGTGCTCTGCATTGTTTTTTGTATAGCCCTAGATTTATTCACTACAATACCTTATGGGGTACTGTCCTTACACCAGCAAGTGGAAAATCGTAATCTGAAGCAATATAAATAGTATATTGCAAGGATCATGAGGCAATAGATCAGAGACATTGTCTGTGTGCATATGGCTGTAAATAAGTCCACTTGAGATTTGGACATTCACACCTGCTGGATGTG